TGATCTATGCATGCTTTAGTCTTGTTTTGGAGTCCCTTGGGACTGTTTTAGTTCATTTTGGTCCTTTAAGGTTTGGTTGACATAGCTTTGGTTTAACCCCCTTTATTGGCTTCAAGTGTTGGTCATTGTTGCATGTCTTACTTGCATGTTTTATTTGATTTGGCATTATCCTCTATTCATTTTCAAAGCTTAGCATGTTGGTTTAATGCCCATTTATATCGCCTTCAAGTATGCTTAGAGTTGCCCCCTTTCATTCTTAGGTGATGGACCTTGACGTGTGTACACTTGCATGCATCATTTGTGCTCTTGTACATCATTTTGGCCTCTGTTTATGGCAAGGTTGAGGTCTGCCATTTATGGTTTAAGTCCACCATTGCATGCTTATCATATGCTTGTTGCTTATTTGGCTCGATACATGTTGTCCCATGCTAGCCTTAGGGCATATTTGTCCATGTTTGCATTACATTTGCATCTCATATGATTAGCACTTTGCATACTTAACATGATAGGTTGCATCACGTTTGACATGTTTTGCATCTTAGCCTCATGTTGCATAACTTGAATCACAAGTGCATACATGCATTACATTGTTTGGTTTGGGGTGTCAAACCAAACTTGAGGGATGAGAGGTGTTTGTACTTCGAGTGACAAAACACACCTCAACCCTCGGTCACCGAGGCCCTTGACTTTGGCATGATAGGATCTTGGTCCTCATTTGTGTGTTGCATGCATTCTTACATTGAATTGCAACCTTGGCTCCTTAGGCTATCATGCATCAAATGCACAATTGATAGCCCGAGGGTCAAGGGCCATACTCCCTTGAGTCCGTTACATGATTGGGAGAGTAGCCATGCATACACTTGCTTGAAATTCCATGCCATACACTGTCTATCCTTGTTACTGTCAAAAACCAAATTCTGCAGGGATTTTTGGCCAACCGGCAGTATAGAGTGCCGACCGGCCATTGGTGAATGGCCGATTACTTCATCAGCAGCCGATGGATATTTTCAATGGCCGGTGGACATTTCCTCCAGCCGATGGTGTTCCACAGCGTTCAGGGGACCTGTCCCAGAACTTTGGAAATTTTCAGAGAAGCAGGGCAGTGTAAACAGAGGCGGCAGTGGTATGGTACGGACTTTCCGAGCGAGACGGGTTCGAGCATGCATCATTCGCGCATCCCGAGGTGGGGGCTGTGGCCACCTTTCTTTTTGCATTCATTCTGTCAATTAATTAGAGATTCTGTAATAATTAATGTATTATTTATTCGGACTGTAATATTTATTTGGACCCTCTGAGTGAGGGCAATTGTGTAATAAGTGTGGGTGAGTGTGTGTATGTCTTCCAACCCCACGTCTTTCTTCCCTTTTATTTACCCGCTTATGATGGTAGACTAGGGCATATTTAAATTAGCATACCTTATGTTATGCATGCGTGCATTCACACATTTGTCTTGCATGCACTAGGCTCGGTACATCATGCTAACTGCACTCGTATTTCAATTCCAAGTTGAGTATTTGTTAGTTGCAGCATTTCACATGCCATGTTTAGGATAGCCGAGCCTGTTTAGATTGCATCTTTGCATGTGCTGCATTAGTCATTTCAAATATGAACTAGGATCATGCATGTGATTACTAATTGGTTTCTGTTTTAGCTTGGAGTACTAGGTGAGCTCTTATGCTTTAGCATGCCGCATGCGTGTGAGTGTTGCCAAAATTGCATGATTACCATGAGGCTAGCTGCTTATGTGATATAACTGCTTGAATGCCTGTGGATGGAGGTCGAATTGCTCAAATTAGGATAACGCATTAAAACTGCCCACTAGATAGTGGCAAAACCATCTTTTCTAAAAGCCCACTTGAGGGTGGCAAAACCTGCATTTTAGCCTACTTGCGAGTAGCAAACCATTTTCAAAACAAACATGAAATGTTTTGTTCCAATTTAGGCGATTTGGTTTATAACTTGTTTGTTGTACGCATAACATAGTAATTCTAGGCTAATAACTGGAATAAGAACACATAATGCTTTCAAAACAAGATATCACGGTTAGTAGAGGCCGATTTTCGGATCAGGCGAGAGGGGGTGCTCATAGCTGACCTTCCCCAATCGTACCCAAGTTCCCGAGCCGAGGCAACTTTGGTGATGACGGACACGTGGCCTTTGGCACCGAGTCAGGGTTTCCTAAATTCCCCAAAATAAAATATTTAGGTGGCGACTCTGTATCTGGCAAAGCATCCATTTTTGGCACTACTTTTTCAAAAATCTGTTTCTCAAAACGATTTGCCGGATTTGGACTCTTTGGTTCAGATTAAGAACCGTGACACAAATCGAGTCCGAACTGTAGTGAGCCCCATGGGCGCGTCTAGAGCGTCCTAATGCATGGACAACTGTAATTCATTCCACGTAAGCACATAATCACATAAGCACCTATGAATTTCATTTCCGGATAATGACAGTCCCATGGCGTTACTAGAGTTCCGATTAGAAACAGCATTGATCAAGTGCTTTTCCAACAAGACTCCTAGAAACCCAAGGATCCAATCAACATCCTAGAAACTACATTCCATACCCACATAGTCACATAAGCATGTTATCAAATAGACACATACTATCATATATAAGTCTCTAACAAGCGAGACAAACCCATTGTGATACTAATCACTTCCCACGTACCCAAAGTATTCAAACCCGGTATGCTCTGATACCAAGTTGTAACGCCCTCAAAATAAACCCATAAATCATGCATTCGCGACATCCATAAACATAAGAGAAATAAACATATTTCTATTCATCAGAGTATTTAGTCCAAAAGTATTACATGTTGACAACAAAAGTAAATGCCCTACGGGCTTACAACTTTCCAAGTCAACACTTGTTTAGAAAAAGAGAGTACTAACTCTACACAAAATAAGCCCTTGGCTTGATATACATGTAATATAACAAAAACAACAAAAATAGTCCAACAGCCTCAAGCCTTCCAAGCTACGTCCTTGGAGGTGGCATAATACCTGTACCTGAAACTGATATCCCATATAGGGTGAGCCAACGCCCAGTAGAGATATGCTAAACATAATATGAGCAATAACTAAAACATTAGCATTTGACAAATGTTTAACTCACATAAATCAATTCATAACCCATTTCAATTACATGACAAATGTGTCCATGTTTCATTCCATTTTCCATTTCTTATCCAATTTCTCAATTCATAACTATGGCTCAGAACCTGGCCAAACAATTTAAATGAGATTACATCTCATATCAACAGTACTTCCATTTCAATTGGGATAACAACTCAAATTAAACACTTCATACTTCACAATAAATACACATAATTGTTGTATCAATCTCAAACAAAACACTTCCGTACTTCATATATGATACACAGATTTGTTGTATCAATACTTCAATAGATACACATATTTGCTGTATCGATGGAGTCCATCCCCTATCTCCTCCTAAACAATATCCGGTTTAGGAGTCCATCCCCTATCTTCCCCTAAACCGTGGAGTACATCCCCTATCTCCTCCCACACAATACAATGTATATAAACACATATCATATACATAATCAATCAATACATAATTTTGATGTATTATTCCAACCGTCATATTCGATGACATATTCAATTGATTAGTTTTAGTTAACCTAATCATCATGCATTGTCTACAATAATCAAGACTATCCTCCACCGATAGCCCAAAGCAGTTATTTCTAAACAGATAATAAATGCCTCAACAGGTATATATCCAACATTTTCAAAGTGAGCGATTAATAAATCCAACTCCACCATTCTATCTCATATTATGCAAATTTCATCATTTCCACCTTAATTTCGTATTTCCACAACATTCCCAAATTAATTATATCAATTAATTCATAACAAAAATTAGGGCTTTCCTCCATCTTTCTCAACGTTGACCCAAAGGCACCAATATCAACAACCAACAACAATACCATCACTTTAAGACCCAAAATACATATTTATGAGTCAAAATAACGAAACCCCTCTTTATACATTTAGAAACCCTAACACCCAAAATCACCCAACTTCAACATTAAATCAAAGTGACTAAAAATTTATGTCAAAGATCATATAAATGAGTAGTTATCCCTACCTCAAATTCGAAGTTCAAAGGAAGAAGGTGAAGAAATTCAAAGTGCTCCAAACCCCAATATTTTCGGATCAAAATGTAGCCCTCAACAAGCTCCACACTTTTTACAAAGGCCCAAGGTTAGAAGATCACTCCTACTAGATCAAACCCTAGAGAGAAGTTGGTGTTTTAGAGTGAGGTGCTCTCCAATGGAGGTTTTGAAAAAGTAAGAGAGAGAAAGAAAATCAAAAAGTGATCCAAAAAGGTGAAACTCGGACTGATATAAATGTCTCCCCGCTCGAGCGTGGAAACCCCCGCTCGAGCGTCAGACACAGACTCACGCTCGAGCGTCAAAACGCCCGCTTGAGCGTCGGATGCACACTCACAGAAGTTTTGCAGGCGATGGTCCCCGCTCGAGCTTCAAACTCCTCGCTCGAGCGGAGGAACAAAATCAAAAGGTCACGCTCGAGCGTCAAAACTCACGCTCGAGCGTACGAAGACCTGCAGAGAAAAATACTGGGAGATGGAAATTCACGCTCGAGTGTCAAAACGCTCGCTCGAGCGGAGAAGCAACAACAAAGGGCCCGCTCGAGCATCAAAAGCCCCGCTCGAGCGTGACGGCCAAATTCTGGTCATCAACTTTTGGTTTCAAAGCACAACCAACCTGTTTCAAACCTGCCCAACACAACCCAAGACTCAAATACAAAGAGTAAAGGATGGAAATGAGAATGAGACAACAACACATCCATGGAACCGAGTCTAGAATACAATAAATAAAGAGAGGAAAAACCAGGATCGCTATAAATTATACTGCTTTCAAATCATTGCCAGTGATTTTCCCATTATTTGTTAGCATCCACTACATTTCTCCAAATAGCAAAGAGGACCACTTGAAGAGAATCATCCACATGGGATTTGTGAGGTGTGTCGGGAAAATTGAATCCTCTACTGCTACTGCTAATGTCATTGAGCAGATTCAGAGGATATCTGCTAGGTTGAGACAGTATGGAAAGGTTGAAGGAAAGAAGGTTTCAGAAGGAGATTGGAGATCTGAAGATCTTGTTTATAACAAGTACCCTAGCATCAGCCCTGGTAAAGCATCAACAGTCGGCAACCTCTCTCTCTCTCTCTCTCTCTCTCTCTCTCTCTCTCTATTTTCATTGTTCATTTCTCCACAATGCTTTTGTAGATGTACTTACGATATGTATATATTCATTCTTTACATTTGTCACTTCGTTCAAATTATGCTAAAGACTAAGCTGTTTTTTCTATTTTTAATGTGGATCAATTGATAGGTTTATGAAGAACTTAAGTTTAGGTCAAGTAGTTGAGATCCTTGGGTTTTATTTATTTTTTTTTTTCAAACATTCAAGTGGTTATACTCCTTAATTTCTAAGAAATAAATTGGGGGAGATTCTAAGTTTGAATTTATGGTGAAGCATCGAATGTTTATTAGTAATAATTTAACTTACTACTAACTAATTAACTAACCAGCTAATTTTGACACCTGGAAAAAAAATATATGTACTTTGATATTTTTAATTTTTAATTTTTTAGTTTGGTGGTGTGTGTGATTTTGCAGCAGTTCCATCACCATCTTCATCTTCATCACCTGGAATGCTTGCTGTAGGGCAGATGGGTAGCTATGGTGGGTATGGATTTGTGACTATGGAGAAAAGTTTTAGGGTAAGTTACACTATACTATACTACTCTCTAATACTAACTGAATACAGGTTGCTGTCATTATGTAGTTGGGCAGCCAGTGAACACAAAATCATAGTCTAGTTATTGTCTTCCTTTCTCAACCTTTACAATTTCCTTCTTTGGCAAAAAGCCAACATGAGATTTGTACATCTGGCGTAGTTTATATGCATCGTTAAAATAAAACTTTGACTCTCCAAACAATTATAAAAGGAGAGACAACCTAAACATTTTCTTCACTTGAATCCTTCAAAACAACTATTAAAAGAAGCCTTTTAGTTTTGTTGTTTGTTGTTGCAATAACACTAGAGGGTAAGGTTTAATAAACTTCATATCAGCGGGACTGCTCCACTTTACACTAGAGGGTAAGAGTCTCTCTCTCATTTTACTTGTTTCTTCCAACCAGGACTGCTCCATATCAACAAGATGCAGTGGTGGTGGATCTATAGGCCACAATCTGTGGGTTGGTGTAGACCCATATTCTTTATCCTACCCAATGGTGACCAAATACCAACTAGTGGCCCGATTTAAGAATTCTCTTAATTTGAGGTATAGATTACAAGCAAGAGTGCACTGTGGTATTAGTTTGCTCATGGAAGATAAGGAGTTCCATTATGCATAAAGACTACTATATTATTCTAATTTGTTAACCACAAGTCTAACAGATATCTTAATACAGTTTTCAACGTTCATATAATATTCAAATTCATTATAGGCTATGAACATATAATACAAATGACAACATATAGCATGCATACATAGTCTAGTCTAAAAATAAGAATATACTAGTTGTTACCTTCCTTTCAAAAGGCATGCCTGACAGGTGCAACTTCACCCACATTCCGCAACCCATTCTCTTCCAGCAAGTATTGCACTCATATCATCTGCAGTACGAAAATTCATCCCCAACTCCAAAACCTGCATTTAAAGATTTGTAATGAATCAGACAGATCCTTCAAGGTTGTCACTCCCGAAGTATTTATATCTGTCAATTTATTACTCCTAGATTCTAGTATCCGAGTGGTCCCTACTCAGTCTGTGTTCCTTAGTTGTAAATTGTATGTATAAAATAGTCCTTAATGCACCTTAGTGAGCCATTTGATGAAGATAAAAAGTTTTTATCTGTAATTTTTTTCCCAGTTTAGTTTAAAATTGCAAATATAACTTGACAATCATGATACTGTAATCTTACTTTATTCACTGAACACTATCTCTTCAAATCCAATGAATATACATCACACATTTGGAAATTAATCGTATTGTATTGTCCTTGTAGATTAACAATCATAGAGTACAGTTTTAGACATACTAAATGACATAATCCGCTGTTTCTGCATTACCAGTCACACGGTTAGAGGTATACTGGACAGAGCCATTGAAGCAGAGGACAAAAAACATGGAGATTTATTTAGGCTGGTAATACTTCCTCTCTTCTAACTCTCTTCTACGTTTACTATTGGCTGTTCTGCTATACACTATGGTCACTTTAAAAATCCTTTCGTTATTTACATTATGTTACTATAATGTGAGCAGGATCATGTTGAGGGCTACCTTGAACTGTCTACGAAGACAAAGTCATATTTTGCTACTGCTGTTGCTTCATGGGATGCAGATTTTTATGTGAAAGTTGATGATGATGTTCATGTAAATATAGGTAAGAAATTTGTTTTTAGTACTTGATATATAAATAAAATGCATACATGAAGGTCTAAAATCCAATACATAGATGCAAGACACTCAATGTGTTACAACTTTTAAATTCCCAATCGGGGTAGAAACTTCAGATGCCCATGTTCATATGAACCTCTAAATTCAAATCTACGACTGATATGATTTACTTGAAAATGAAATTATATATGTTTGTAACTCTACAAATTATTTATTTATTTTGTTGCATTGGGTAAGATGTTGTAAATTTTGTAGCAACACTAGGAGAAACTTTGGCAAGATACAGGAAAAAGCCACGGGTGTATATCGGATGTATGAAATCTGGTCCTGTCCTTGCTCAGAAGTAAGTGGAATTTTGTCCTAAAATTCTTGTTGTTAACTAGATGTTGAGAAACTGTTAAGCTTTTAGATGTCTTATTTGTGCACTCTGTGGAATAGGGGAGTGAGGTACTATGAACCTGAATATTGGAAATTCGGGGAGACAAGAAACAGGTATTTTAGACATGCTACAGAACAACTATATGCCATTTCAAAAGATTTGGCTACTTACGTCTCGATAAACCAGTTAAGTTACACTCTCACATGGTGTTAAAAATGAGAGATCAAAAAAACAAATGTGTGTGTATCACTGAAGCTATTTTCGCACAGAGAGAGAAAGTATGGGTTTTTGATAATGATACAAATTGTGATTGATCTGTATCTATATATATATATATATATATATATATGTATATCTGTAAATGTGTGTGTATATGTATGAGGAATTTGGGGATCCTAGAGGAGAGAAAGAAGAAGAAAAATGAAAACCATGTCTCTGGAAATGTGTATGTCAATGTGATATAGGGGTCCTAGAGAGAGAGAATCTCTCTCTATCCGTTTTTTAAAAAAAAGTTAATTACACTTTTGACGAGGCACATCTGTCTAACTAGCTATATATTATATAAGTAAAAGTGAGTTTTCGTGAAGAGTTCTGTGAATTTATCTAATTAAAAAATAAAATTAATTTTTTCTAATCCTAACATTATTTACACCGTGCCTTCAGGCACGGGCATACGCTAGTAAATACATGGTCTATTTGGTTTGGATTTTCAAATGAATTTTATAATTAGATATTTGACCAAGGAGTGTACAATTTGAAATTTTGTTTGGTTGTATAATTTGAAAATAGTTTTTATAAATATGAAATTCAAAATTTATTTGGTTTTGGACTTTCAAAAACAATTTTTAAATTTTAAACTTGAATTAAATCAAACCATTAAAAACCTACAAACAGCACAGAGACACCTAATTATCAAATGCACCAGAAACAAATAGCACTAGCACAGATACACCAGATTAGCAGAACAGAACAACATATACTGCAGATACACCAGAACAGCCGAACAGAACAGAGAACAACAACAAACTATTGAGCTAAAATTACCAAGAAGTGGCATATAATTACCTTTAGAAGCATGGACTAGAATAACAATTAAAGATTTCTTCTTTTCCAATTCAAGAAGTGTGTTTAAGCAAAAATACAAAAGAATCAAGTTCCAACATTTCAATTGACGATGATGAGGGGGAAAAAAACTTAAAATTAGGAGAGAGAGAGAGAGAGAGAGAGAGCCAAATTTACATGTACTGGTAATAACTGGTAAAAATAAATCATATCCTCCCAAGTCCCCATATCAAAATTTATCAATTACCCAGATGAAAACTCAATAAGTATTGCTATAGCGATCCCAATTGTCCCTTTACTATTCTGTTGTATTTCGGACTCGGTTCCGTGGAGTTGGTAGTTGTATCTATCTTGTTGCTATCCTTTAAATCCATTTGTTTGAGTTTTAGGATGTGTTAGGCTTGTGTTGAACAGGTGGGTTAAGCCTTGGTCTAAATCCTTGTTGCCCAGGTTTTTGGTGTTACGCTCGAGCGGGTCATTCTGCGCTCGAGCAGAGTTTGGTTTCTAGTTTACCGCTTGAGCGGGTGTTCTGATGCTCGAGCGGAGATTGCACACTCCCAGTATTTCGTGTCCCTGCAAAACTTCTGCAGATGTGTTTTCTACGCTCGAGCGGGTTTCTTGCGCTCAAGCGGGTAGCGCTATTTCGCTCGAGCGGGTCATTCTGCGCTCGAGCGAAGTTTGGTTTCTAGTTTACCGCTTGAGCGGGTGTTCTGATGCTCGAGCGGAGATTGCACACTCCCAGTATTTCGTGTCCCTGCAAAACTTCTGCAGATGTGTTTTCTACGCTCGAGCGGGTTTCTTGCGCTCAAGCGGGTAGCGCTATTTTGGGGTAAGTTCTGGGAAGAGGGAATCTACGCTCAAGCGAACTGGTTTTCTCGCTCGAGCGGGTGTACTTTATTCCTGTGTCTTGGCGCTCGAGCGGGCTTTATTGCGCTCGAGCGTGTCCAGATTTTTGTGCTTGACGCTCGAGCTTTGTGTTTTCCGCTCGAGCGGGAATGTCGTATAATAGAGGGCAGCTGGGCACTTTTGAATCACTTTGTACACTTTCTCTCTCTCTCTTACTTTCTAAAAAGGTATTTTGAGAGCCTCTCTCTCTAGAAACTCCCTTCTCTCTAGGGTTTGATCTAGTTAGAGTGCTTTCCTTCCCTTTGCCCTTTGTAAAAGTTGTGTTGATCGTCGAGGGCTTCATTTTGATCCGTGGATCTTGGAGTTTGGAGCATTTTGGTTTTCTTCATCTTCTTCTCTTGGGCTCCGAATTTGAGGTAGGGATTCCTACTCACCCTTATGGTCTTTGACATAGATTTTTGGTGATTTTGATAAAGTGTTGAAGTTGGGTAATTTTGGGACTTAGGGTTTCAAAATGCTAAGAGAGGGTTTTGTTATTTTGATTCTAAAATGTGTATTTTGGGTTTCAAAATGAGGTTATTTATGTCGGTTGTTGATATATGGACCATGGGGTCAATATTGGAAAAAAGGGGTAAGAACCCTAATTTGTTGTATAAATTAATTAGTGTAATTAATTTGGGAAAAGTGTTGGTATTTGGAATTGAGTTGGAAATAAAGAAATTGACTCATTACATGGTAGAACAGTGGAGTTGGATTGGTTAATCGCTCACTTTTGAAAACGTTGATATTTTATCTGTTAATGCATTTATTATCTGCTTAGATATATTTGCTTTGGGCTACCTGTGGAGGGTAGTCGTGATTGTTGTAGACAATGCATGATGATTAGGCAAATTGAAACTAATCAATTGGGTATGTCATAGAGTATGACGGTTGATAGAATACATTAATGTTATGTATTGATTGATTGTGTATATGACCTATGTGGATATATGTTGTGTGTGTGGGAGGAGATAGGGAATGTACTCCACGGTTTAGGGGAAGATAGGGGATGAACCTCTAAACCGAATGTTGTTTGGGAGGAGATAGGGGATGGACTCCACTGATACAGCTCATATGCTTGTCAGATAAAGTATTGATACAGCTCATATGCTTATGTATGGAAGTGTTGATACAGCTCATATGCTTATCTTTGGAAGTGTTGATATAGCTAATATGCTTATCTGTTGAAATGTGGACACAGCTTGTATGCTTATCTGTTGAGATGTTGATACAACTAGTATGTTTATCAATTGTAAAATGGGAAATGTTTAATATGAGTCACTGTCTCACAAATGGTTGGCCAGGTTCTGAGCCGTTGATATAAATTGTGAAACTGTTAAGAAATGGAAAGTGGAATGAAACATGGCCACAGTGATTATAAAATGGGAATGGGTTATGAATTGATTTATGGAAATTGAACATTTATCAATTGCTAATGTCTTAGTTATTGCTCATACTGTGTTTAGCATATCTCTACTGGGTGTTGGCTCACCCTATATGGGACATTATTTTCAGGTACAGGTAGCATGCCACCTCCAAAGACATAGTTTGGGTGATGATGAGAGTTGAAGACTCTTTTCTTTGTTTATTTTGTATGTATTACATGTGTATCAAGCCAAGGGCTTATTTTGTATAGAGTTAGTACTCTTCTTTTGTGTAACCAAGTGTTGGCTTGGAAAGCTGTAAGCCCATAGGGCATCTGCTTTTGTTGTTAACATGTAATACCATTGTACAATTTACTCTGATGAATAGAAATGGTTAGTTTCTTTTATATCAATGCATGTCAAAAGTGATGGGTTTTATGTATTTTTTTTTAGGGCGTTACAATTGCATACTAGGGACCAAGAATCAAAATGGGTATTGTATGTTTCTCACCAGAGGAAGTGCTCTTGATGAGCTTCTCGGAGGAGCTCTTAGAATGCTTATGGTCCTTTGAGTTGTTGAAGCTTCTCGTAGGCCCATCAAAATTCATAGGAACACAAAAAGACTCTAATATTCATTTTTGAAATTTAGTACATCTGAATATTATGATAAAAACACAAATGTTCATTTTTGTGTGATAAATAAGGTCTAAATTCTTTTGACGTGAATAACAGGACACATATTCATAGACAAAATAAAAAAAAAAACAACACAAAAGCAAACATTCAACAAGAATAATGCAACATAATGAAAACAAGCCTCAAAATAAAAACTAATTTGTTGCTTCCCCTTCCAAATTTTTTTTTAATAGTAAAATCATTTGTTATTTGTTTGTTTATATATATATATATATAGATCCTCTTTGCTGAATCAATATTCTCTCACATTGTATTACAATTGATTATATCTTTATATATACATAGATATATAAACCTTTACAAACTACTAAGAAATAAAATAAAATCACACTTGCTATCCTAAAAATCCCAATTTACCTTTCAACTTTTCTCTCACTGATTCAAACAATTCTCACTCAATACACTTCATATTATGCAGAAAAGTACACATACTGATAAATAAATAAATACACTCAATTTTTTATGAAAAAGAAACTGGATTTCTTGAGGGGTGAAGTGTTGGTTTACTAAAATAGAAACCAAATATACCCTAGAATTTAGAAATTAAAGAAAAGATCGCGAATTACAACATAAAACTGCTCATATAATTTTTCTATGGAAAGAGGCAAAAATGATTCTAATAAATTGAGTAATGTTAGTGATTCAAAAACAATATTAAAAATTTATGTCAAAGAGCAACTACCATTCCCAAAGTACAGATGGCACATTGAATTCCATGACAGTAAGTAAGAGAGAACACACATAATCAACCAGCATAACTTCAACCTAATGGGAAAGCTCAAAAATCCACAATCAGAGTGTTGTGTAACATTTTTCAGATATGTTTAATTTTTCTCAACCAACACAGATCACAAAACAGAACAAAATTCAGTGTCGCCATTTAGAATTGAATTAAATTCATTCAAGTTCGCAACAATAAGAAAAAAAAATTAACGACAATACATTTGTAATGAAACAAAAATGTAATACAAGAATATAGCTTTCGCCTTAATTCAACCAAAATAATTGCATTATCATGACAGGACGAAGACTGAAAAAAATTTCAAATTTTGGTTTTTTGCTTCTGTTACTATTTTCATCGAAAACAAACAGCGGCGCGAATGAATTAAATCAATCACGAGTTTTCACAATGAAAATATAGTTCCAAAATAATTTTGTTTAAATTGCTAACAATTTAATGCATTTTTACAAACATCATCAAAATTCAAAGAACATAATTAGATCTATAAATCTAACGCCAAAACAATATGACTTTTTTTACACCCTAGAAGCAAAAGTATGGCTCCAAAATACTACACTAATTAATGTAAAAAGACCAATGCCT